ACCAGTATTTCACAGGGTTAGCTAAACTGACTCCTTGCGATCTTGCTACGTTACGAAAGTGCGAAAACGCATAATCGCACCGGCCCGCCTGGTGCGTTCCAGACTGGGTTGCTTACTGAACTCCTCTCGCTACTGACTATGCATAATGTAGTTCTCACACCAAAGGTTTAGGGTTCGGTTCGCCTGCGGATAAACAATTCTTGTAGAAAATTTCGCACCAAAACGTAGGCTGGAACACACTAGACTAGCCAGTGCGAGCTTGCTTTTCTGCATAGCTTTTTTACGCAGGTTCCACTCAGAAGCGAACGCATTTTGCAGCAAGCACGACTGTTCTCATCCTTTTAGAACATCCTGTTCTAGTTCTTCAATAAAAAGTAAAAATGTTGCTAGAGCGGTCGGTCGTCAAAAAATCCAAGTATGTAAATAAATTGGAAAGGATGAGGGCGGTCGTTTGCTGCAAAATACACTCGTTTCTGAGTTTATTGTAAAGTTGAGTATTCCTCATACTTCCATGCAGAATTAAAACCGCACTTGAAAGTAGAATATCCCAGCGAAATTTCAGCCTCGTACATTATCCAGTAAGCGAAATAGCCAGTTCGATACAAATATTTTTGAAGTCCTTTAAGTCTTGCGCAAGTGCAATTCGGAACTTATTTTAAGTATACGATTTCCCATATGGACGATAAATATTCTGACAAAATTTCATCTTCTGTTTTCCGGCAACTCTTCAAGTTAGCATAGTTGCAGGTACAAACTTTGACGTGACCGTACGCGCTGCATAGCGTGTGCAGTGGCTGAACTTGAAATCTTTAGAATATCCCTGCAAAGTTTCAGCTTTCTATCTTACTTGGTCCCCAAAATCGTTTCCTACCAAAGAAATTTGCATATTTGTTTTGGGGCTCCGTACACGAGATCCAGAAGTGTATGAAGAAACATCTTAGAAGGGAGACACACGGGGTGGGAATATATCCTCAAAATTTCAGTCTCTCAACTTTCCTGGTTGCTAAGTTGAAAGTGGTTGACAAATTTCACTCGTTTTCGAGCACATACACACACATACACGCACACAGACGACCTCTCGTCAATATTTTTTCCTTGCTCGCTGTAGCGCTGCACAACAAAAACGCATAAAAAGCAATTCCACTAACCAGACGTGTTGGGGATACGATGATATTCTGTGCTCATATGCAACCAAAATATTTCAGTTTGAGCTTTAAAGCACTTCTAAGTCTTGCAGCTCCCAAATGAATGCGTAGCAATGTTGGCACCGAGACATTCTAGACGCTGTTAATGCCTATACATTCTAGACGCAGCCTCTACAAATTGCAATACCGCAATTGCACCTCAGTAATGCAGGCGATCTCTACACGGAATGGAATCATCCAAAAACTTAATCGCACTGGCAAGCCCAGTGCGTTTTAGCCTGGGTTTCAATTTAATCTCAATTTTTTATGCGTTTTTGCATATATGCAAAAGCGTGAGTCTGTGTTTTCGCATTTTTTGTCACCCACTTTCAACTCGAGAACCAGAAAAGTTGGAGGCTGAAATTTTGGGAGTATGTGCCCATAACATGCGCGACCCTCCGTTTTCATATCATCCCCGTGGTGCCTCTGTGCCGCGTACGGAAGTTTTAAAAACATATGCAAATTTTTTGACGGGAAAGCGGTCTCGGAAACCAGGCAAGGTAAGGGGC